AGCTTCTTTTGACTGTCAGTTGCTTTCCTCTGCTAGCAACCGGGCGTCTTATCTTAAAATGTACTCTGCAAGAAATTAAATGTTTGAAATTTGATTTTTTTAAAAAAACAACAACAACCACCCCCTTTCTTTTCCCCAACTCTGCCGCTCCTGCCTGTCCAGAGGCTGCTCCCAAGTCGGGGTGATCAGGGCGCTGAACGAGGCTGGGATTCCTATTGACATGATTGGTGGCACGTCCATCGGTTCCTTCATGGGTGCCCTGTACGCGGAAGAGCGGAGTTATACCCAGATGCGGATCAAAGCTCGGCAGTGGGCCATGGTAAGAGATATCTCATTGCCCAGTCAAGCCAGTCGGATGTAAAAATAAGAGCGAAACCCCACTGCCTTCTAGCACTGATGGCGTTACCTAGTTGGGTCATGAAACGTCTGCAAGAAAGCAAGCAAGTTCAGAGAGCGCCCAAAACCCCACAGTCGTCCTCCTCCTCCTCCTCCTCCTCCTCCTCCTCCTCCTCCTCCTCCTCGCAAACCCCAATCAATCATAGCCCTGATGATGTTCCCTAGTTGGGTCATGAAACATCTGCAGGAAAACCACCAAGCTCAGAGAGCACCAAGGACCCCTCAGTTCTCTTTTCACACTCCGGGTAGCTGAGTGGATCCTTTCTGGCCATTTGGCCTCTCCTCAAAGTGCGACTTTAGGGAGTATGGAAAGTATTGGTTTGTTTTTATTTATTTTATTTTAGATTCCCCCCCCCCCCACACACTTTATCCCGTCTTTATTTCTTTAAAAATAACTCAAGGGGGTAAACATACCTAATACTCCTTCCTCTTCCTATTTTCCCCACAGCAACGATCCTATGAGGTAGACTGGGATGGGAGGGAGGGACTGGCCCAAAGTCCCCCAACTGGTTTTCCTATCTAAGGTGGGGCTAGAACTCACGATCTCCTGGCTGAAAGTCACCCAAGTGGCTTTCATGCCGAAAGCAAAACTAGAACTCCCCGTTTCCTGGTTTCAAGTCTGTTGCCGGAGCCACCTAGGACCTTTGCTCCACATATAGCGCCTAGCTCTCTCCTCTGACTTGTTCTCCTCTCCGTTTTCTTTTCTCTTTCTCTCCTTCCACATGCTGCCGTGCTTTAGAAGGAACGGAGGTAACGGCTGGCGTTGGGTGATTTTATTGTGTTTGCTGTTAATGGCCACAACGGAGCCCCAGATTCACATTACTAAGTGAGACCTTTGTTAAGTGAGTTTTGGCCCCCCCAACGTTAATGTTTAAGGGGATTCCTGCCGTCGTTAAATCGGTAGCCTGGTTGTTAAGCAAGTCAGGCTTCCCCCCCGTTGAGTTTTCTTGTTGGAAAGTCACCAAAGATGATCAGAACGACACACACACACCCCTGGGACACTGCAATGACGGGCATAGAACGGCTGTGAGTTGAGGATAACCTGTCTCCCCCCCTTTTTTTTTTTATGGTTGGGGGGAAGGGAGAGGCCAAGGCCCTCAATGCAAGGCTGCAGCCTGGCTCTCTTCTCTTCTCCTCTCCTCTCGTGACCCACAATAATTCACCTCGGGGGGCGGCCAGCCAAAGCAGGAAACAGGTGTGTTGCTGAGTGCCAAACATCCTCGGCGTGGCAGAAATGTTTGTTGAGCACACAAGGGACGTGACAGATCCCTGGTTCCAAAGACAGCCAGTCCCCAACTTTATTGGGGAGACAAAAGGAGGGAGAGAAAAGAAAGGTGCCAAGGGGAGGAGACGAGGAGCGAGGAGAAGGTATTGAAAAGCAGAGGAGAGGTGGAGGAGGAAGAGAGGAGGAAGGGAAAAAAGGAGACAGGGGAAGAGAGGAAAGGAGAAAAGTGAGGAGGAGGAGCGGAGGAGGAAGAAAAAAAAGCAAGGGGAAGAGAGGAAAGGAGAAGAGAGAAGGAGAGGAGGAGGATGAAAAAAGGAGAAGGGGAAGAGAGGAAAGGAGAAAAGTGAAGAAGAGGAGAGGAGGAGGAAAAAAGGAGAAGGGGAAAAGAGGAAAGGAGCTAAGAGAAAAAAGAAAGGAGGGAAAAGAAGGGGAAGAGGGGAAAGGATAAAAGAGGAGAGGAGGAGGAGGAAGATGAGAGGAGGAAGAAAAAAAAGGAGCCAGGGGAGGAGAGGAAAGGAGAAAAGTGAAGAGAGGAGAGGAAAAAAGGAAGGAAGAAAAAAGGAGCCAGGGGAGGAGAGGAGAAGAGGGATTCTGGACCTTGCATCACCTCTTCCTCGTCTCTACCAGCCCCGCCGTGTCGTTTCCACCTGTCATCTCTTGCTAAAAGAAGGCCAGAGATGGCTCTGGGGCCCCCAGAAACGAGGTTTTGGTATTTTTAGAACATGCATACGTGTATACACACACAGAGAGACACACAGACAGACACAGACACACACACACACAGACCTCCTCCTTTTTTGGCAGGAGGCCATTAATCAATGGCAACCAGGTCGCAGGAAAGAAAGCTTTTAAGAATGTAGTCCAGAAATCGAAATACCGTGGAAAGCATTTTACTCTTTTGTTTGGGCCCATTCTATTTTCTTCTTCTTCTTGTGTCGCCCTTAGTTTGTATCACTGTTTTTAATCTTCTTGGTTGCCTTTGCATAATGCATCTCCGTATCATATAATGTGATATACAGGCAGTCCTCGACTTACGGCGATACCCCAAATTTCCTGCTGCTAAGCGAGGAAGCTGTGAAGTGAGTTTGACAACGTTCCTTGCGCCGGTGGTTAAGGGGATCCCTGCCAATGTCGTGTTCGTGGATCTGGCTTGTCAGAAGGGGTTGCAAAAGGGGATAATGTGTCTCTCACACACACACACACACACACACACACACCAGGAGTTGCCAAGCGTCCGAATTTTTGGTTATAATTTTTAAATTTTTTTTACTATAATCGTTCCGTCTTCAGTTGAGTAATCTAGTTTTGACGAAAGCTTCAGCACCTCGTCCCGTTTTCCCCCTTCCCCCCTCCCCCTCCCCCTCCCCCCTCCCCCCTGCCTCTGGATCATCCATCTTGGTCCCTTTGCAGAATATGAATTCGGTGTTCAAAACGGTTCTTGACTTGACCTACCCCATCACGTCCATGTTCTCCGGAGCCTCGTTTAACAACGGCGTCAGCGACATCTTCAGAGATAAGCAGATCGAGGTAGGTGTGCTGCCTTTTGCGCCAGTGGCGGGATGCTGCCGGTTTAACAACTGCTTCGGTGCTGGCGCTGACGATGGAGCATTTGGAAGCTCGGTGGTTTTACCTTCCGAGTCAACGACGGTAAGTAGGACAGCGGGGGGGGGGGATCAGCAGTGCCGCACAGTTGAGATGAGCTACAAAGCAGGAAATGAAGGGCAGGATAGGGCAGGGCCAACTGATCCTTGGAACTACCAGTTCGTTCAAACCGGTACGAACCGGTGGCATTATGCCCCTGGCTTGCATGCATCGCAACACAGGAAGAGCGCAGAGTTTTTGACAGTTGTGTAATGGGCGAAGGGAAAAGCTTTAAGGTGGCTGGTGTGTTATCATTTAAGCTCAGGTTGTTTTTTTCTTGCCACCTTCCAGATGCAACGGGCAACATCTGGCTGTTACTCCCAGAGCCCTTTCCTTTTTTTAAAAAAAAAACATGCATCCATCTTCAAAGTTATCAGTTTTCTTTTGGGTCAGCGGTGGTGAAACAAATTTAGCCCTTGGTCCGGCCAAGAGTCCCGTGTGACAAACATGGAATTTGATCCTCCGTTATCCTCCCCAAACAACCTTGTCAAGTGGAGGTGTAAACAAGGGGGAGGAGAAGCCAGCGGTTATGTTTAGCAACTGTGCGGCCCCAGAGACCGATGGGGGAAAAAAAATGTGTAAAAATCCCATGAATGAGGGGATTGCAAGTTAGGCTTGTAATTCAATGACGTAGAAGAGACGAGAGATGCGACAGTCGGTCTCTTTAGTGGCGCGACAACACTGGGGCAGCACCTGCCTTCTTTCCGTTTCTCCTCCCTTCGACACAACAGAGCGAGTGAGATGAGTAAACTGACCCCTTGCTAAAGGACGGTGTTAATCCAGGGTCTACATCTGTGCAGGGAACTGGGTCACCAGGGAAGATTAGGGTAGTTTAGGGAAAGAAAGGAAGGAAGGAAGGAAGGAAGGAAGGAAGGAAGGAAGGAAGGAAGAAAGAAAGAAAGAGAGAGAGAGAGAGAGAGAGAGAGAGAGAGAGAGAGAGAGAAAGAAAGAAAGAAAGAAAGAAAGAAAGAAAGAAAGAAAGAAAGAAAGAAAGAAAGAAAAAGAAAGAAAGAAAGAAAGAAAGAAAGAAAGAAAGAAAGAAAGAAAGAAAGAAAGAAAGAAAGAAAGAAAGATGTAATCTTACAGACAAAGGAGGGGAATATAAATGCATTTATAACCATTGTATTAAAAAAAAAGATAGGAAACTTTTCCCCCTTTCCCTTTCCCTCTTTTCTCCTCCCTCCTTTCTCCTCTCCTCTTATTTTTCTCCTAATATTTCTACTGTTCATCCTTCCTTCCTTCCTTTACTCTTTTCTTTCCTTCTTCCTTCCTTCCTTTTCTTTTTTCTCTTCTCCTTCCTTTCTTCCCTTCCTCCATCCCTCCCTCCCTCTTTTTCTGCCTTATTTTCCTTCTCTTTCCCCTCTTCCTTCTTCCTCCTTCTGTCTCATCTCTCCTCTCCTCTCCTTTCTAATATCTCTACTGCTTTTATCTTGTTAAAAAGCTTCTTCAATTAGAATTAGATTAAAAAGAAGACAGGCAAGTCGTTCTGTTGTGCTGCCTCTCAGCACCAGCAGCGGCTGAGGGCTGCAAGGGTAACCAACCGGCCCACCCCTCCTGGCTTTTCCAGTGTGCTCTCCCTCATCTCGCGGGCAGCAAGGCAACGGGGCATCCTCAGGTTTCTCGAGGTGTTCAGATCCGGTTTTGAATGATCTTGGTTCTCGTTGATCCCTCTCTCTCTCTCTAACGAGCTCTTTCTGTGTGGCAGGATCTCTGGATTCCCTTCTTCATCATCACCACAGACATCAGTGCCTCGGCTATGAGGGTCCACACGGATGGTAGGCCTTGGCGGGAGGGGGCAATTGGGGCAAGGGAGGCTGGCAGGCCCTTTATACAGACCCCGGGTCGCCAAAAGGGAATCACATTGTCAGGATTCCGGCAGTCGCCCCCAAGTACATCCTGAGTCTCGGGCCAAAACTTCCAAAACTTCCAAAGGATTTATTGGGAGTTAAACTGTCCAGCACTGCCTGAGTGCACCTGACTCTGAGACACATATTTCACAGTCACCCTTGACCCTGGTTTTCCCCCACCCCTCTGAGTGTATGGTAATTCATATTCTCCAATGGGACACGTCCATAGCCCAGAGTCATCAATCATGCTCTCCAGTTAGAATTTTGCCCGGCAGAAACTTCAGTCACCTAGTTACTATCTTTGAAAACATTTATGGAATGCAGTTTCGGTTTGTAAGCTGCTGCACTGCTCTCTCCTCCCTTTCTGTTGGCAGCTCTAAAAAAAAACCCAGAGAAATATTTTATGAGTTGACACACGTGACTCCCTACCCCAGGACACTGCGACCGTCGTAAATACGAACCCTCTGCTAAGCGTCTGAAATTGGATCACGCGATTGGGCGGGGGGGATGGACGCTGCAAACATCATCCTTGTGGAAAAACAGCCATATTCCTTTTTTTTTTTCCAGGGCCGCCGTAACTTTCACTGGTCACTAAAAGAACCGTTGTAAGCCAAAGGACTAGCTGTAGATTTAAATAATAATAATAATAATAATAATAATAATAATAATAATAATAATAATAATAACAACAACAACACACATTTCCTCCCCTGACATCACAGGTTCTAAAAATAAGTATAAAGTTCTCTTATTTTCTTTAAGTGACTCTTGGAAGGAACCGAGCTGAAGGGAAGGGAAAGAAACTGCGCTAAGCCTTCTTCTCCCCCCCGCCAAGGCCTGATGCTGCCCTCCAAGTGCTAAATGGCCCTGAATTGTAATTAGCTAATTCAAGGGCTTTTTCAGTGACTTTAGTTCCCGTCAGCCAAGAAAGCCCTGACTTGACAGTGTATTGGCCGGGCAGCCTTAGTTTCGAATCCTCCCCGGTTTGCAACACGATCCCCTTGAAAAACCACGCCAAGCATTTCCCATCTCCACGGGTGGATCCTTCGCCCTTCTAAGGATCAGTTTGCTTCCTTTCTCGGGGCTCCAAAAGAAACACAAAACCCCGGAAACAACGGGAACTTCAACCCTGCTGGTGGATCCGAGCCGTGACTTAGGGAAGGCGAGGCCTCGCATTTTTTCTCTCTCTCCCAGCTTCCAAGCCCCAGGGAGCAGATCCAACCCTTTTCTGCTGATTAAAAACAATCGGGCTTGTAATGGTGATAAATCTCCCCCCATTACTGGGCCGACGAGAACGAATGGCACCAATTTAAGACAGCGGCAAGACTCTCTTCCGTGCCACGAAAGAGTTTGGCAAGAAGACCGAGTTGGGTTCTGGCAGAATCCCCCTGCCCAGAATGAGATCCCTCTCAGATTCCTGGTCTCCCCCCACCCACCCCCAAGGTAGGTTGCGGGGAGACAGGCCAGGAATCTGAGGGGGAGCTCATTCTGGGCAGGGGGCTTGGGGCGGGGGAGAAGCTCAACCCAAGGCACTGGTTTGTTTTGCCCTTGTCAAAAGTTGGCCAGGGTCCTTGTTGGCCAACCCAGTGAGATCATTTGCCGTGAAATACAGGGGGTCCTTGACTTACAACAGTTTCATGGACCGTTCTTCCCACTTAACAACCATTGCAGCATCCCCATTGTCACGTGACCAAAATTCAGACAGTAAATGACTCATGTTTGTGACGTTTGTGGCGTCCGCGAGGTCACGTGATTCTCCTTTGGCGATCTTCTGACCAGCAGAGTCCAAGGGAAAGCCAGATTCATTTACCCACTGATCAGTCACTGATTTCAAAACTGCACTGATCCACTTAACAACCATGGCAGGGAGAGTCGTAAAATGGGAGGGGGGGAAACTCACTTAGTGAATGTCTCCCTTAGCAACATGAACTGTAGGCTCAGTTGTGGTTGTAAGTACCATGAATAACCCACAAGAATTATGACAGGTTGAGGGGTTGGGCCAACCGAGGTCCATGTGTCAACTCGTAAAGCGTTCCTAGCTTGCTCTTGAGTTGCCATAGGCAGGAGGGGGGAGAACTGATGGAGAAGCTCGGTTGCTATGACCAGAAGCACATTCCACGCATGCCTTTCTCCAGATTGTATCCCAGGTTTCAAGCCGGAGAGCCGTGCCCGAGAAAGTGCTCTGTTGGAGAATGTGATTTATGACACACACTGGGAGGAGGGGGGAAACGGGGCCATAGGTAAATTACGTGGGCCAGAGCCGACTGCACTTGTGAAACGTTCAGACATGTTGCTCCTAATAAATAATTGGATTTATTTTGAAACTTGGCTCGAGGCTCATGAATTAATTAGGGCACCCATCGGAACCCTGACACCACATTGGGAATGAGAGTAGCTGGGAAGTTACAACAGATTTGTTATTCCAGATCTATTCTTCTTCCCCCCCACCCCCAAAGGTTGTCTGTGGCGATACATCAGGGCCAGCATGTCTCTCTCCGGCTACTTGCCCCCTCTCTGCGATCCAAAAGACGGACATCTGCTAATGGATGGTGGCTACATCAATAACCTCCCAGGTACTCCGAGATTCCTGTTTCTTTGGCATGGGATTCTTGTCCGGCCATGAATGTCCTCAGCATTGGTGGCCTTTCTCGTCCAGGAAGAACCCAATTGCACAGAATAGGTGGAGGCGTAGTGGACAACCGCTTTAAGATCTTAAGCAGCTGCCCAAAAAAGGCCACTGCAGTTCTAGGTTGCATCAACCGCAGGGATAACGTCAACGTCACGTGAAGCATTTCTACTGCTTTTTGCTGGTTGGATGAGGCCACGCTTGGAATACCATGTCTAGTTTTGGTCACCACCAACAGAAGGTGTCGAGACTCTGGAAAGAGCGCAGAGAAGAGCCACAGAGATGATTAGAGGGCTGAATGGCTCAAACATACAATGAATGGTTGAAGGAACTAGGTAGTATCTCTAGTCCAGGTGTCGGCAACCTGCGGCTCCAGAGCCACATGCGACTCTTTGACCCCTCTCCTGCGGCTCCTTGCTGACCTGGCCGCGTGCCCTGCTCTCCGCCCCTTGGGGAGGGTATCCCTGCTTGTGCGCACAGAAAGGAAGGAAGGAAGGAAGGAAGGAAGGAAGGAAGGAAAGAAAGAAAGAAAGAAAGAAAGAAAGAAAGAAAGAAAGAAAGAAAGAAAGAAAGAAAGAAAGAAAGAAAGAGGAAGGGAGAGAGAAAGAGAGAGAGAAAGAGACCCATTTTCCACAGAAAACACTGGGAGTCACAAAACCTGGGTAGGTGTGGCAGGGGGGTCATGTGACTGGGTGGGAATGATATTGAGTTGGCCACGCCCACCAAGGTTTTTTTGGCTCCCAGTGTTTTTCCCCCCTGTGGGAAACGGGTCCAGATGGCTCTTTGAGTGTTGAAGGCTGCCGACTCCTGGTCTAGTCTAACGAAGAGAAGGACTTGGGGTGACATGACAGCAGTCTTCCAATCTTTGAGGAGCTGCCCCAGAGAAGAGGGAGTCGAGCTGTTCTCCAAAGCATGTGAAAGCAGGACAAGAAGTTAACAGATGGAAACCCATCAAGGGAGAGATGCAGCCTAGAAAATTCCCCGGAACTATTGATCAGTGGAACCGCTTGTCTCCAGAAGTTATGGATCCTCCTTCCTAGGTGAGACAGCCATTTGTCTGGAACAGGATAGGGTCTCCTGCTAGAGCAGGGGGTTGGGGGTTGGTCTAGAAGACCTCCAGGGTCCCTTCCAACTCACTTTTATGTTCCGTCCCAACTTTCTGCTGTGTTTTTTGAAGGACACTTTCCTTGCTCGCTTCTCACTGCCAAATAAGACGAGGCCAAGATTGAGTGTCCTTCCTCCAAGGACGTCCCGTCCTTCTTCGCACGGCTGGAAACGGCTTCGAATCCGGCCTTTGTCAGTTTTGGCCGTGATGTCCACTGTGTGTTATTGAAAGAGGAACCAACGACAACAACAAAAAGTCTCGGTCGGGGCGCCCAGCACCGAGTGCAATTGTGCTGCTTTGAGACAGCGTCGTCGTGTGGAAGAGCGGCTTTGACAAAAAAGAAAAAGCCGAGCTGCAAAAATCTCCCGCTTCCGTCAACCAGGCGGGAAACTAAAATGGCACTTTGTGGTGGCCTCTCATCCTTTTCTCGCTTCCCTCGTCTTCTCACTCGCCCTGGCCTCCCTGAGGGGAGAACGTTGAGTCACTCCTTCCCTACAAAAAGCCTTTTCTTCCTTCAAGAGACATCCTATTCAGGGCTGGGTTTTCAATGGAGAACAGCAGGAACACGGAGGCCTCATCGATCACCTGAATCGTGCTGTTTTTTTCTTTCTTTCATTAAATACATTTTTTAAATACTCTTCCCCCCCCCTCTTAAATATACATCTCTATTGTGTGTGAAGAGAGTTGGTTTGGGGTATCGTTCATATTGCTCCAATTCATCCCAAGAATATTATCCATCTCTATGACATTTGTCAATTTTAAGTAATCCTCATTGATATTGTTTAAACCTACATCAACAAAAAATGCCCAATTCCTCATCTCTGTCTCTATCTTCCTCTAGGTCTTTCTCGTTCAATCTAAACATTTCTCTATTGTCTTAATGCTAATTAATTAATTCTAAGCATCGTTCATATTGCTCCAATTCATCCTAAGAATATTATCCATCTCTATGACATTTGTCAATTTTAAGTAATTATTTCTTAACCCAAGGTCCCTTCCAACTCTTGTTATTCTGTTATTTTTGAAAATGAAGGGATGCTCCAAAATGTACAAAAAAACAAAAATAAAAACCTGTCAAGGCGAATAGGAAACTTGTTCAAGAGAGATCCAACTTAGAAATAAGAAATTTCCTGACAAGTTAGGCCAATGAGTCAGTGGAATGACTTGCCTGCAGAGGTTGTGGAGGCTTTCAAGAAGAGACTGGACAGCGACCTGTCTGGTGTAGGGTGTCCTGGCTGTCCGGGGGGGGGGTTGGACTAGAAGACCTCTGGGGCCCCCTTCCAACTCCGTTCTCCTGCTTTCTCCCGACAGCGGACGTTGCCCGATCCATGGGAGCCAAGGTCGTCATTGCCATCGACGTGGGCAGCAGAGACGAGACGGACCTCACCAATTACGGAGACGCACTTTCCGGCTGGTGGCTGCTGTGGAAACGGTGGAACCCATTAGTGGAGAAAGTGAAGGTGAGGTGGTTAAACTGGTTGTAAGTCGAGGACTAGCCGCTGTGGTTTTTGAAGGGAGGCTGCGCGAAGGCAGGTTTGACTTCTCTCTCTCTCTCTCTCTTTCTGTCTGTCTCTCTCTGTCTCTTTCTTTCTCTCTGTCTTGCTCTGTCTTTCTCTCTCTCTCTGTCTTTCTCTCTGTGTCTCTTTCTCTCTTTTTTCTCTCTTTTTTCTCTCTTTTTTCTCTCTCTCTCTTTTTCTCTCTCTCTCTCTCTCTCTCTTTCTCTCTTTTTTCTCTCTCTCTCTTTCTCTCTCTCTCTCTTTTGGACAGGTGCTAAACATGGCCGAGATCCAGACTCGGCTGGCCTATGTCTGTTGCGTCCGGCAGTTGGAGATGGTCAAGAACAGCGACTATTGCGAATATATCCGGCCACCCATCGATCACTACGGGACGCTGGAATTTGGGAAATTCGATGAAATCTGCGTGCGTTGTAGGGCAGGGAGGGGCAGCAGAAGGAATGAAGTCGCGGAAGGGGAGATACGTGGCTGGGAAGGGAGGCAGCATTCAAAGGAGCAGCCCTCGGGTTCAAAACTGCTGCTGTTTTGACACAAGACAAGCGCTGGAAGCGACCAATTACCCTGAAGGGGATTGTTTGGGTGTAGGTTGGGGTAATGGAGTCCTTTGACGTGGGTTGTTGGGAATCAAGGATCCAGTTTGGGATGGCCCCTGGTGATGGATGGATGGATGGATGGATACACATTGATAGACATAGGTAGATAGCAAGCTAGACCTTTCTCTTTTTTCTCTCTCATTTTGAGTAGCAATGGATGGATGGATGGATAGAGATAGATAGATAGATAGATAGATAGATAGATAGATAGATAGATAGA